GTTATGTTAGGGAGGCACTGAACTGAAAGCTGAGTAGTAGGACCTTGTCCGACCCGTCTCAAGCGTTTGTCAAATAAGTACCCTAAAAGGCCAAGTTCTGCTTAATTCGAGGGAAAGCTTTGAAACCTTGTGGCAGCCCTGATTTCTGCCATAAAGCTAGACCCCAAAGGCACAGTGGCCACAGTCACCCCGACCCACCACAAGCACATGGGTTCACTGTCCCTTCTTTCACTCTGCACTCAGAGAGAGAGAATTTGTTCTAAAGGGAAAGGGCGCTTACTCAGCCAGTGCTGGGTAGAGCTTACCTTAGAGAGGAAAGACTGAGGTGCAGAGAAAAGGAGAAATCACCTGAGGACACAGAGGATCAAGTGAAACCAGGGACCACACCTAGATTCTTGGACCTCGGCAAAGCACACAAAATAAATCCTCACTGCTTAGCCTACATATGACTCAAGAGAGCAGTTCTCACTCTACGGCAGGGATAAAGGGGTGTGTGGGTGTGTGTATGTGTGTGTGTGTGTGTGTGCGCGCGCACACACGCACACACACGCACACACACGTACGTGCATATTTGTGTTCAAACCCCAACTCTGAGTTAAGCATCAGTGGGACGCAGTGGGTGGACACCCTGTCTTATGAAACCAGGCCAGGTAACGGTGCTATCATCTGACAACTAGCTCCTCTGGGGGTCCTGGGCTCTTTCCTTGAGATGTACTGACCTTCCCTGGACCGGACTCTGACCACGATCGGTCTCTGAATCACGACTATTCTACCGAGCAAATGAATGTAACAAACGTCTTCCCAATCTCTAAGAACAGTCTACTCTAGGCCAAACACCCAGGTAAGTGAATGGACATGTCAGGCAGCAAAAGCATGATGCCAGGAGTGGGCCTGGCCAGTGAGTCCCCAGCTCTGCCAGCGCACTTAGCACCTCCGCCAAGTCTTGTGCTTAAATCACCTATCCCCAAGCCTGTGGGCTCCCTCCCAGCACACTGTGGACAGAAACAGCACAAAGAGCTGGGTACCTAGTTTGCAAGTAAAAGGCTTGGGCAATATTTCATGAGGACCTGAAGAGTGAATTGTGTTGTCCCCAACAGAATGGGTATTTTATGTGCCTCTTTGTGCTATTGAGGAGACATGTTATAAGTACACATGAGTATTTACAAATGTTAGCTTATACAGGACAGGTGACTTCCTGGAGGGAAGAAGATTACAGGTAAACAGCATGTTATTTCAGAGGAAGGGGAGAGGGAGAATATATGAAGACATGAGCGGCAAAATAATAAAAGGAAAAAGAATTGTGTTTACTGAATAAATGACAAATTCGGAGCCAGTGGAAAACGGGCAAGTTGGGACTGTTAGGTGACTGATGAGAGTACAATTGGATGGGAACACCTGAATAAGACCTGGAAACATCAGAATAAAAGTATCTTGCTTCTCCAATATTCAAGGGCACTTAGCTTCAAATGGGGATAAAAAGAAAAGAGAGGCTTATCAGGGAGCCAAGAAGGGCTGCATTGGGCCGAGCTCTGCAAGAGAGCTGGAAAGGTCTCAGCAAAGATGTCTCAAAGACTTGACTCTTAAAGTCAGGGTTACAGCATCACCTGTCTATCTGAATAGAGCTCGTGGAGAGCATTCATGCAGTGGGCAGGGGGCTAGACTAGATAGCTTCTAGAATCTCAGCCCGCTCTGAGATATTATGAGCCTGATTCCTAACACGGATGAAAAGAAATTTCTTCTGCTCCAGACATCTGCCTGAGGTTGATGCTGCTGCTGAATGATTCGCCCCTAGAAGGCTGAATGATAACTGGTGCACTCAGTATTCTCAAGAAAGACCGGGAATATTGAGGACCGATTCTGAGGAGGTACGCAGAGAGGACTGTTGGGGACAGAAGCATGATGTCCTCACATTCAGACGGCAGCAGCAAAAGCAGAAGATGGCCTTCCCACTCTGGGGGAGGTGATCCTGAGGAGGAGAACAGTTGAGCCACTATACCTAACAGCAGAAGCAAGGCCAAGGCCATGGCCATCAAGAATAGTTCTGCAGGTCACACAGTGCACAGTGGCAACACACCCCAGGGGCTACCGTTCACATCGCAGATATCATATGTGTACACGTATATTCTATGTGTCTTTATAAGGTTTACGATGCAATTTCCCAGCTGTTGATGTCTTAAGGAAAGGCTGTCTTTTTCTAATTAGCAAGAGCATTGTATGAGCTGGTCCAGAATCCTGGAGCCATGGCCTTCACTTTGCAGACAGGACTGCAGGACGAAGGCAAGATCCTCTTATAAAGTTTATCCCTTGCTGACATTCCCCAGAAGAACGGAATTTTTAAAAAAATTTTTAAAGGCAACCTGAGGTTCTTTTCTAAAATGTTCGTTGTGCAGTAGAGTTGCCTGCAAATTAAGATGAATTATTAGAGCACTTAGAGCTTGTTTGTTTGTTTGTTTGTTTGTTGTTTTGTTTTTCATCAAAAGGTCTGCTCCAGCAATCCTACCCTCTATTTGAAAAGCTGAGAAAACAGCAAATTTGCATGCACTCAAATAAGCCATTATCAGTCCCAGCAGACAGGCTCTGGGTTTTGTTGGCATAACAAGGAAACATTCATCCCCTAGGTATAAGTAATATGACCTGGCTCTCAGAATGAGCTGACTCCTTGCTACTGCCTTGGAAAGACTGGGAAGCACCAGAGAAGTGGGGGAACAGATTCTGGTGGCTCTCAAGGAAAGTTCTTAAGTCAGTGTAGTCTACTCCACCAATACTCTCTGCCACTGCAGCACATGGCCTTGGAGCCACACTGGCAAACACTTGTAAATGATCCTAGTTACCAGACTCTGACTTCTGAACTGGCCCTTGGGACGAAGCCGACTGTGAACAGATAGTTCTAAAGACCACGTTAATCACTTCCCAGGAGATGAGTCATTGTGCTGCCCAGCCAATGAGGATGCCCTAGTCACGAATGAGCGCAGCCTGATTGGCTGAGACAAAGCCAGGTTTCTCTTCTCAGGTAAACAACCTGAAACCTGGAGTTCTGAGCTTGGAGGAGCTTGCGCCTTGGGAGGTCTGGCATGTGTGGGGGCCTCCTTCAGCACTAATACCTTGGTAACCAATTTCTTAAGCTGCTCCCAGGACACTGGTTAGTAAGAACTTTAATACACCCAGGAGACAAAGTGAGTAGCAAGCCTGCAGCTGGAGCCACCAAAAGGTACCCGGAGACAAACGAGGCTTCTCGTGGATCCTCCCTCCTTGCCCTTTGTCTACGGAAGACAAAGTGCTCGGTTTCCTTCCTCAACTGGGCCTCAGTGTCGAGTTCTCCATCTACTTCTATGGATAAACGAAAGTATCCCCTTGTACTCCGAGGGTGGGGGAACATTTGTCCAGCAATCAGCTGGCCTGTGTTTGCAAAATAAAATGAGACAAGGTCCATATGTCGTCAAAGAGCTGACTCCGTGTTGGAGGTACATCTGAGGTCCCCAACCACATCCCACCGGCTCAGGCACCCCTACCCTCCATCTCACCCCTGCCTAGAGACTTTGAAGGGTAGGAGAGGATGAACCATCAGCCAATCACAGAATAAAAGAAAGAAAGAATAAAATCCCTCCACCTCTCCGCCTCCTCACTGCACATGATTCCTTGAGGGCATTCCATGTGAAATTCACCTGCTTAAGAAGCAGCTCTGGAAGGAGAGTTGGCTTCTGTCACTCACCCACTCCTCAGTGTGGATGGTTCAGGCACCTTGCTCTCCTTCTAACCTCAGGCTGTGCTCAGCTCCCCAAAAGGAGTGGGGTGATAATTGGGAGGAGGGAGGAGAAAAAGAATGAATTGGGGAGCTTATGCTGAAAGTGCTGTGTGCACTTGGCCCACTTTTCCCCACTCCTCTCTCAACATGGGGCACTCCAGTGGGGACGCAGACAACAGGAGGGCACCAGAGTGTCCTTCCCCACCTACAGCGTCAGCCTCCCAGCTTCCCACAGAGGAGGCACCAAGGCCATCTCTACCTGCAAAAGATAGACACAGGGCCTAGTGCTGCCCCCTCCCTCCCACCTCCACCCCGTTTCCTCCAAGCAGGAAGTGCTGGTCTGTGAGTTCATAAGGGGCAAGTCTGAAGGAGAAAGAGTGGCCAACTAGCTGCCACACAGGTAGAAATGGGGCTGCATGGGAAGGGCGGGTGGTGCCACCATCTGTACTGAGTTTCAGGCACACAGATTAAAAGGAGGCCATGTGACCACAAAGGCAGTGACTGGAGTGATGTAGCCATAAGCCAAGGAGTATTGCAGACACCGAGGCTGGAAGGGGCAAGTGGGGAATCTCCCTAGAGGCCCTGAAGGAGCCAGGCCCAGGGGACACCTTCATTTTGGCCCAAGGAAAGTAAATTCAATCTTCTGGCCTCCAAAACTGTGGGTGAATACATTTCTGTTGTTGTAAGCCACTAAGTTTAAGATAATTTGCACCATAGCCTCAGGAAACTATTGGCATTCAAGCTGGTCACTTCGGGCTCATTCCTCCCCCACCTAGTTTCTCCACTGTAAAGTAACCCCCTTCCTGCAGATATGCTGGTGAGAGCGTGGAGCTTCTTTCTCTTGTTTGTACTTTAAACAATCACTTATCAAGCATCGAAAAAAGAATGGTTTTCTATTGGCAGAATTTCAGACAGGTGACAAGTGATGACAACAACATGTGGGAATAAGAGAAAAGGCCTTGAAGTATAAAGCAGAAAAGTAGAGTCACTCACTGTACCAACTCATTAGACCAGCCTCGTTTTTAGAGTTTCTTGCCCAGAACAGAATCAGTATTAGAGTTAACCAGAATTAGAGAAAACCAGTTGGTTTTCAGGAAGAAAAGGGCCCCTGGGAACCCTACATTGAACAGCCAAAGGGACCCACAGAGGTAGGCCCACCCATCCCCTAGATGGAGGGCCTGAGACCAGCTTTCTTTCTGCCTCTTAATTCCAGAAGTCCCACACCATCCAGAACATACCCAGCCTGGGCTAGACCCACCTTCTGCATTTCCTCAGAGGAGGCGTTGCATCGGATGCTGGGAGCGGAAGCCCGTTTGCACCGCTGTTCTCCGCTGCTCAGGGCCCAGGAGTTGGCAAACTCATAGGGGTCTGAGGTCAAGGTCCCTGTGGAGAAAAGTTTCAGGGAAATGAAGCCACAGTTATACCTGACCCAAGACTTCTGCGTGAAAACTCTAGATCTGTCATCACCTGAACCCACCTTCCACTAGATTTAGTACGTAAGCATCGGGGTGGGAATACCTTTCTGTGCAGCATTCAGCATAAAACAACTGGGCATAGGCATGGCAGCTCAGCCAGTGCTTGACAAGGGAGGGTGTACGGGCATCGTGAGGAAGATGACATGAAAGACAACAAGGAGCAGGCCCATCCATTCTTGCTGCTCTGTGCCTGTGCATGCTTTTCTCCCTCTGTGTGGAATGGAGGAGGACATTCCTCCTCCTGACTTAACTGTTTCCATTCATCCTTTGAGATGCAGCTCCTGAACCACTTTTCCCAGGAATCCCTTCTGAACTAGCTCCGCTCCCTGTCCCCCACCCCAGGCTTGGTTAGATGTGCCCCTTTCTCTGTGCTCCCTCACCACCCTGGCCATCTTTCGATCAAAACTCTCATCATCCTTTGTGTTAGCATTCTTTTTGCTTATATTTATCCCCCATTCAGCTGTGCATTTCTTAATTCAGGGCACAGGCTGTCTTTTATCTCTAAATTCTTATCTGATGGATTGCAGATACTCAGAATACTTTTGTGGAATGAAGGCAAGGGTATTACACGTAACCCGAGTCCTCCAATCACTGCATTCCTTGTGCTCTCACAGCATCTCTGCCTTCGTACTTAGAACAACCACGCTGCTGTCGGCTATCCACAACAAACTGTGAGAACTCATGGGCCAACGTGGCCTGGTACAAAGTCGGTGCCTACTTTATGTCACAGCCACCAGCAGCACCACTATCACTATTGAATCTCCATGGCAAAGGTACTTAATGGAACATGGAGGCAAGCAGCCTTTTTGCACAACCAGGTCTAGAAGAGTGAAGCATGTTTTGAGGTCAAATAATGTATCTGAGAACAGGAAATAAATCATCCCTGGGGAAAGACAAAAAAGCAGGACCTTGGGAGTATAGTCAGCTGGCATCTGGGGTATGGTAAGCGGAAAAAATGTTCCCCTCTCCAAAGATATATTCACTTCCTCACTCCCAGACACCTGTGAATATTTCCTATTCAGCAAAGATGTGATTAAGTTAAAGAGCTTGAGAGGAAGAGCTTGTCTTGGATTACTTGAGTGGTCCTTAAATGCAATCCCATGTATCTTTACTATATGTAAATTGTACCTCAATAAGTCTGATTTTATAAAAATAATAATAAAATACAGCTACATCCTGCTTTTATGAGACATATCTGAAACAAAACCACACAGAAAGGTTGAAAGTATAAAAAAAGACATATCAAGCAAACACTAACCAGAGAAAGATGGAGGACCTGTATTAATATCAGAAAGATTTTAAGGCAAAAGGCATTATTAAAAATGATGACTCATTACGTAAAAGAAACAATTTACCAGAAGATTCAACATTTCTAAAATCTAATCACAAAGGCTCAAAATATAGATGGCAAAACTTAACAGAACTGCATGAAGGAATTGACAAATTCACCACCATTGTAGAAAAATTTAAAATAGCTCTCTTAATAATGAGTAGTTGAAGCAGACAAAAAGTGTAGCAAATACATAGATTTTAATAACACAATTAACAAACTTAATTCAACAAGTATATACAGAATCCTGCAGCAATCAAAAAATACATTCTTTTGGAGCATACATAGAACAATTGCAAAAAAGATCAGGTATTAGGCCACAAACAAATCTCTCCAAATTTCTAATTTAATTTAGGAATCGATTTAGTTATAAAGATAACTTTAAAAATTCTAAATATTTGAAAATTTTGAACACATTTTATAGGTTATAAAGGAACTCAAAATAGAGATTGGAAAATTCATAGAACTAAATGAAAAAGAAAATGTTACATATCAAAATTGGTATGGTACAGCTAAGGTGGAATTTAAGGAAAATTTATAGCTTTAGATATACACATTAAATAATGAAAAGTTGGAGAAATCAGTGCTGGAGAAGAGAGAAACAAACAATCTTACTATTTGCCAGTCGAATAAAAAGAACAGCCGACTGTTTCTCTACACACTTACCCCTTAATCAGAGGGTAGCTGGGTCACAAGGAAGAACTTACATACAAATGTTTAGCTTTGGCAAGAGAGCATCACTAATTAAATGTTTATGTAATTGAAATTACCAAAAGGAGAGTATAGATTAGTAGTGATTTTCACATTGTCCCTAGTACCTTCTATTGCTTGTGAATACACACACATGCACATGTGTACACACACACACACACACACACACACACACACACACACATACACACAACCTGGCCTTTTGGGGCAGTGTTAAGGACCTTCCATTATAGATTTTCTCCATGAAGTTCCATTGTAGTGGTTCAGGAGGGTCTATTCAAGTCATCCAGCATTTACCAACCATCTACCACATGTACAATGCTATGGGGAATTCAAAGTTGAAACAGGTAAGGTTTGAAGAGCTCCAAGACCTGGTGTGATGGGAGGTCTAGGCAGTGAGATGGAATGCCAGGAGATAAGGTTGGCAGGATACACTGAGGAGAGGTGATGGGGAGGTTAGGGGAGGCATGTTACTGAGGTTTGTGAGCAGGGAAGTTACGAGCATAACCATGCCTCCAGAAAATGGTACACCAGAAAAGCTTACCTTCTTGAGTCCTAAAGTCATCTTCAGCAAAGATATTAAAGTCACCACACAGCCCACAGGTCTTGTTGAAGTATCTGTCTGACAGCAGGACTTGAAAGTTGCCGCTGCCATCGATCCTGGCCACAAAGCCATAGGTCTCACTGGACAGCTTGTAGTACCCAGCCTCAGTTTCTAGATACAGCCCTTTGGAGGCATAGGGCATGGACACGCTGGAAAGACAAGGATGAGCTCAGGAAGTGGGCTTCTCATACATTTTCTGGCTATCTCGCCCACCCTTGAACTCCAAACCCAGCTAAGCATTCAGACTGTGGTGCAAAGTGGCTGAGGGGCTAGACCAGCAGTGGGGGACCCTGACTCTCCCTCAGTCCAGCTACTTGCTTACTCTGAGCACATTTACTTTCTCTCTCTGTTCTCCAGCTTCTTCATCTGAAAAACGAGGTAGGTATGCAAATGGGGTGTCCCAGCGCCCTTTTGACTCAGATGTTTTGGGCTTCTGACTTACCTCTGGTCCCCCTGTAGCACAGTACCATTGACAAATAAATGGATGTCAAAAAATTCCCCAAGATACACGGAGAGGCTCATTCGCTTGCCATTTTGGAAGTCCCCTGAAAGAGAAGAGTCAGTAGTGGTGATTACTATCCAGAAAAGTTAATAAATTTATTTTTAATCATCATCTCTATAATCTTATCTCAGTGGAAAACTTCCCCTCAAAAGACGTAACAAATGGGCAACAAAAAACCTCCCCCCAAATCTCATTTCCTCACTCATCTTTTCATTCCTCTAAAAACATTTATTGAGTGCCTTCTGGATACATAGCCCCCTAGTAGTCCCTTATCTTTCTCGAAAGGAAAATGTAAAAGCATGACCTCTTCCTTCTGGGAGTTCACAATCTAAGTATAAAGATAAGACAAGCTTGCAACAATTGAATATACTGTAAGGCAGTGAATGAAAGCAACAAAGTGAGTTATTGGTTACCGGTACCTTAGGACGTGTTAGTTAAAATGTCTTCTTCTGTTAAGCCCCAATCAGAATCCCTGGGCACGTTTTAAAAAAATGGAGATGCCTGAGTCCCACCTCACAGTTTGATTCTCTGGGAGAAGTTTAGAAATTCTGTAGGTAAAATCCCTTACTCCATGTGGGGAACTTAAGGATGCAATAAATTATCAATATTGCTATTAGAGATGTTTGAGTAGCCAAACACATGATACAATAGTCTCTAACAATGTGACAATGATCCAGTTGTGAGGGACAGACACAGATGGTGGTAGCTGACATGAAAGCAGAAAAACAGGCAAGACAGATTTTTGCAGCACTATGAAGACATCCCACAGCTAGCCCCTGAGAGCTGGTGCTCATTGTGGGCCCTTAGAATTCAAAGATGACCGAGTGACCGTGGAAATGAAGGAACCAGAAGGAACAGAAGAGAGTCCAGTCTCAAGCCTTAGAGACTGAAAAGTTGACTAAGAAATTGATAGAAATAGGGAAAGTGAAGGGCAGCCAGTGAGTATAGAGAGATAGAAGATGCTGGAAAAAGAGAGGACAGATGTGAGGGCACAGTGCCTCGGGGATCCTGAAGAAATGGGGCATTGAGCCCAGGAGGAAAGTTAACCATTGGAAATGAGGAAATGTGCCTTCTCCTAGGAGACCAAGGGAGTGTGGGCTCCAGTTCCTCAGTGAGAGAGGAGACAAGAATGTCTGTAGAACTAAGTCCAGGAAATGTAGGAGGTTTGTTGACATGAGGTCCTGCTGCCACGGCTGGGGCCACCGATAAGGAGAGCGAAGGAAGGGGCCCCTCAGTCGCAGCCCGCAGAGAGGCCTGAGCTGGACTGATGCTGCTGGAGGACAGTGACCACCTGGTACACACACACGTGCATGTGGGCACACACACACGTGCATGCATGCGAGTGCACGTGCGCGTGCGCGCGCGCACACACACACACACACACACACACACCCCGGTACACACACACGTGCATGTGGGCACACACACACGCGTGCATGCGAGTGCACGCGCGCGTGCGCGCGCGCACACACACACACACACACACACACACCCCTAACCAACCAAAATGAGCCAGAAAACAGACTCGTTAATGGTGAGATTTCAGTGAGAACTAGTCCATTTTAAGAACTGAGTCTTGAACAATGTACTGCTGGCAGTGCAGAGACCACCAGGAAAGGCCCAGAGTCCACAACCCACATTCTGCAGAGCTGCAGACCAACACTGTCAGGAGTTAAAGGAGATGCCAGCCAAGGCAAAGGGCTTTCATCCCGTTTGACTGAGGAGTCTTGCCTGCCCTGTTTTCTTACAACAGATTTTGCAGCCAGCACATCTTTAAAAAGTGGAGCCAACTTTCCGACAGCAAGAAATTAGCCAAAGAAAAACAAAGAGAGCTAGATAGTAATCGGACAGACAGAGTAAACTATTATTGGCAGAATCTGAGTGGTGAGTCTGTGGGTGTTTACTGTCCTATTCTGTCACCTCTTCTGTATGTTTAAAATTTTCCATAATAAAATGTTAAAAACACAAACAAACGAGACAGCTCAGCAACAGCCTCCAGTTAGCAGTCCGTCCCAGGAGCCTTCTGGGCCCCTGGGCATTTGCAGTGGACCAAAGACTAAATCCCTTCCCAGGCTTCTGCTGAGGCTGAACACTACTCCTGGCCTGGAGGGAGCCAGCTCCATCACCACCCAGCTGCTGGAGGTGGTCACAGGGAGCCCAAGAGGTCTACAGAACCCATCTCCTCATCAGGACAATTCTCCCTCCCATGCACCCCAGCCTCACAGAGTAGGTAGAAGGGCAGTTCTGCTCCTGCTTCACTGGGTAATTCAACCAATATATTGCCTCTGAGCCAAAGGCATCTCACTCCTGCAAAAGGGAGAGAACTCCCTGTGTAGCTCTCCCTGGCGCAGGCTCTCCTCCCGTTCATGGGGATTCAGAAAGGGCCATGAGAACAAGTCTTCCAGGGGTGTGTGGCTGGAGGGTGGGTAGGACAGACTTTGGTGAGCCAGTGTACTACAGCTGTAGATCTGTTGCTCTTCAAGGCTTTCAAAGATGTAAAGTCACCTCTACAGTCGCTTGTTCTCCAGGAGACAAAGCTGAGCCGGTGTGTAGGAAAGCCCAGGGGTCACTATCACTACAAGGTTGAAAGGCAGGACCTTTGAGGCTGGACAGGCCAAGAGTTCAGCAGAAGCAGACAGTCGAATGAGAGGGAACAAGGAAGAAGTGAGATGGAGGCCCGAGGCTCCCGCTGGCCTGGGGCACATGGAGGCTCTGCCCTGTTCAAAGAACTGATGAAGGCAGCCTGGCCCCATAGACTGTGGGACTTGGGTCGACCCAGGTGGCTGACACAGGAGGTAACTTGCCCTTCGTCACAGAGCTAGTGAGTGATGACAGAACCAGGACTCAGACTGGTGCCAGTTTAAGTATTTGAAGAGCTGGCTCCATGGGGCTCCAGGAGAGATCAACATTAGGAAGCTGAGGAACAGTCTGCGGGGCGGCACCCCAGTGGGGAGGTGGAGCTGGCTCCCAGGATCATTGCCCAGGTAGGGGCAGAGGTGGGATGAGGGGGTCTGGGATTAATGAGGACTGAACTACAAAGAGCCCATGGAAGATCTAACCCCGGAGGGCTGAAGGGGGCCCTGAAAGCAGTTAATCCACATCTGGAGGGAGGGGCGGGGTTGCAAGCTGCAGAAAGGGGAATTTTGGAAGTATGCGCTAGAAAAGTCGTAAATTCAGAAAACCATACCAGAGCAGCACGAAGGGTCTTGGAGATCATCTAAATAAGTGTCTTCAAAACTTTTTTGCCCAGAAAGTAAAAACACAACCGACTTCACCACCCAGCAAGCACATACGCACACATTTCACAGAACACTATTTACCCTCACCGTGTGCCGTGCACTCCGATGCTTTCCGATGTCTTCTATTTTGTCCCCTTTAATTTTTTTAATGCTGTTTGCAATCATTAAATTAATTTTGTGGCCCACAGCTCATGACTCAGTTTGAAAAGCACTGATCTAGACTGGCTCCATTTTACAGCTGGAGAAACTGAGGCCTACGCTTACAACAAGGCTCGTCCACCTCGGCACCGTTGGCGGCCAGGCCCGGATACCTCTTTGCTGTGGGGCCGTCCTGTGCATGGTAGAATATTAGCAGCATCTACTCACCAGATGCCAGCAATATTCACCCCCAGCTGTGACAACCCTCAATGTCCTAGACACTGCCAAATGTCCTCTGGGGCAAAATCAGCCCAGTTGAGACTAGTTGGTTTATACTGCGAATGTGGAGCAGAGCCCACACCTGGGTTTTCTGACTCCTAACACGGCATCTGAGTGCTCTGGAATCGGTTAACCACTAATGCAGGGGAGAACTCTAGATTAGCCTTCTATTTTATCTGCTTTATTCCCTCCCTGCAGAACTCAGTGGGAAATCTGATAATGTGCAACCATCAGGAAGACAAGCCATTAGAAATTGCCAGTGAGCCTGGGAGAGCCGGCAGCGTGGAAGGGACACTCCCATGCTTCACCGACCTGCAGGGTAGCACTTCCTGTAGCCACGAGGAGAAGATGGGCTGGGTTTCCACCCTAAGAGGCCAGAGGGAACTAGGGATGTTCTCCCCATGGCTCTTGAACCGTAACTGAGGAGCTTCATGGGGAGCAAGGCTTCCCCCACATGCTGGAGAAGCAGCAGCCTGGGAGGCAGGCCAGCAGTTGGAACCAGAGCAGCTCTGAGTGCTTTCTGAGATGTTAGAGTGTGGAACTCACGAACCTGCATTTCTAACAAGCACTTCACCCTCCACTCCTGTGATTCTGACACAGATGATCATCATCCAAACACTGAGAAACAGCGATCTGGTTCCGTGCCATTCGCCGACGTGGAGATGAAGGCTCAGGCTGGGGAAGTGACTCAGCCCGACGGTGCTGGTTTATGGCTTGCTCTGGGCTAGCTTGGAAGCTATATCCTGCAGCGAGGCTTAAAAAGGGCAGTCTCTCCAAGCAGGACCCCCCCGGTCTCTTCCTTTTCCTCCCTTACTGGTGGCCTTGGCCTAGGACCCTGGAGCCTGCCTGACCAGGAGGGGCCTGGTCAAGGAAAGGGCTCCCCCTTTGCACCAGGTGGTCCTTCAGGCTGAGACATAAACACTTTATTCAGGATGTGTACAAGGTCTACAGACACTCAGAGAGGAATGGGAATTTGTGAGTTAGAAGGGAGAAAACAGGATGTCATTGGGGAACAATGGAGCAGAGGTGTGTGCAAGGACACAGTCGTGCTCGAGGAACTGGATCTGCAGCGTTCAAGCCTGTTGGGCCCCTTCCCCTGGCCCCAGTGCCCCTGAAGCAGCAGTGCCAGCCTATCTTCCCCAGGCCCAGTCTCCTCTCCTCCCGACATCCTCCCCCACCGTCACTGCCAAAAATAGTAAAAGTAACAGCATGACATTGGGTGGAAATTAAACCGATCCACATGAAACTGTGATTGATCCATAGCCTGGTTTAAGCCAATTACCTTCCGGAAAACTGACACTTGACAAGAGCAAGTTGTTACAAGAATAAGGACCCAGTTGGAGGTCCCACAGACATGGTTTGAAACAGAGAGGCCTCCCATGACCCTTCAATTCCTTTTCGGCCAGGAAACACAGAAAAGGATGGTCAGAGAGTAGCTCTCCATGCAAACCCTCGTGGATATGTTGGGGAGGGGGTTGATGTTACCCTAAACTTCACAAAATGCCCCTAAGGGCCCAGCAACCCCTCATCTTCGCATTTCATGTCCAACAAGTGGACATCCCATGTTAAGGTGGCTGCTTTCAATCACTAAGGTTGGGAGTAAAACTTCACACTTGCAAACACTGCCTCTCCGTTGATCCTCACAGCAGCTCCGTTTTAAAGATGAGGATATGGAGGCTGGGAGACACCATGTGACTTCCCTTAGGATGCTCTGCGAAGAGGAAGAGCAGGGAGCACAGGTTTTCTGACTCCAGCTCCGGCTCTTTGCCTCCATGCTTCTGTTCCCTCTGGGGGCAAAAGACAGCCAAACAGCACAAGTTGACGAGCTTAAGTCTGGATAGGATTGGAGTGGTCATGGGGGCTTCCTGGAAGAGGTGACAGTGACAGTCCAGAGGCACCGGCATAACTTGAGTTTCCTTGCCTTCAAAGGCTACCCTTAAAGAGGAGGGGTTCAGAGTTGGGTTTAAGTAGGGAAGGGGGCTTTTCCAACATGCTGCTTGCCTCCCTGGGCCCAGAATACAAACTGTGCCTGGTGCTAAGATTTCATTATGTATTGCTTATAAACCCACCTCCAGGGTAAGGAGTCCACAGCAGAGCCAAACTAAAACACTGTAGAGTCAAGATAGCAACCCTTCTGAGGCACCCCAGTGTCTCCACAGGGTCCCCTTCCCTGGAAACACCACCGAAGCCCAAAGCCGTAGGGTGGAGAGGGTGTCATTATTTCCTTCTTTCAGAATCTTCCTCCTGTCACTCCTTACCTTCCATTCCCACTGATACCCCTAGAGCCATCCCAGGTAGGGAGTCTGCACCATCTCTACTATGATTTCATAGATAGATAGATAGATAGATAGATAGATAGATAGATAGATGGATAAATAGACAGACGAAGAGAGAAAAAAAAGAAAAACTGTTTTTTTCTTTGTGACAAGAACTTTTCAGGTCTATTAGCAACTAATAGACAGACAGACGAAAAGAGAGAAAAAAAAGAAAAACTGTTTTTTCCTTTGTGACAAGAACTTTTCAGGTCTATTAGCAACTTTCAAATGCTCCACACAGCAGTGCTGACCACCATCAGCATGATGGACATTACAGCCCCAGGACTTATCTGTCTTGTAACTGCAAGTGTGCACCTTTTGACCCCCCTCATCCAAGTCTCCCACTCCCCTCCTTCCACCTCCTAAACCCACAAATCCAGTCTCTTTTTCCTATGAGTTAGGTGTTTCGTCACCATCGTCATTGTTGTTGTTGTTTGGAGACTACATGTAAGTGAGATCATACAGAATCTTTCTCTATCTAATTTATTTCACTAGCATAATGCTCTCAGGTTCCATCCATGTTATTGCAAATGCATCATGATTTTTAAGGTAGAAAAATCCACTTAATAAACATTGGCACCGCCTGAGATGGGAGAACCCGAGCCTTCAGCTTTTCAGGGAAGGGGCAGGGTGCTTTTTCTCTCTCCGGTGTGGGTCTGTCTATTGCCATTTTGCCTCCCCAAGGCTGAGGATTTTGCCTTTGCCAGGTTGTATAGCATCCCTCACTCACACACCACACACATCTGCTTAATTCTTAGAGTGGGAAGGTCACCAAACCACAGTTTTCCATCACTGCCTCCGGCCCCACTCCCGGCCTTGGAAAGTGTCCCCTCTCCTTAGTACAGAGGAAAACTCTTTCATCCTGACAAGCCCAGGGTCAAAATCCAACTCTTCCTTTTACTATCTGTCAGCCCTTGGGCTTCGGCTCTCCATTTATGAAACAGTGGTGACTGTATCTGTCTCTACAACTCAGAGCTCTTGTGGAGGTGCAGCACTAACATGGGCACAGTGCCAGCACTTTTCTAGGACACAGGAAGTGATCGACACCAGCTAGAGAGTCTGAATTCCACCAAGAACACACAACAATCCTTCCCTTTTGCGAGGGGCTATGCCTGTTACAAAGCACCTTCTGGTGCTTCATTTCTCTTGATGCTTCAGAGCTCCCAGAGTGTTGCCTGGGGCCAGAGCAGTGGACAGAACCACTGCAGAAGCATGAAGACTCTCCATCCCACCAGGCTCCCATGGGGAGATCCCGGGAGAAGCCAAGGGAAGCCATGTCATGGGAAGGACATTTCACGCCATGCTCTCCTCAGGGATCTTCAAGATCAGGCACTGTCATAAGAACAAGAAACCTCCCCTTCCCCCTGAGGCCCAACATGCCAGGACTGAGCTTAGCTGGCCCCCATCTCTGCATTCCTCCCTGCAGTGCCCCAGACTCACCGATGAGCGAGAAGGAGTGTTTCTGGCAGTCCCCAGCCAGGAGGTAACTGCAGTCTCCCAAAAAGCTGTACATGCTCTCATCAAAGGTGTTGATGAAGTCAGCTCCAAAGAGGCTGCAGCGGGCCATCGACGACCTGCCATGAGTCGCCTCTGTGCAAAGGGTCCCTGAAGGGAGAGGCCATGGTGAGCACGGCTGGGACCACCAACCCAAACCACTCCAGCCCTGGAGATATGAGGCTGTATCTCGCAGAATTTGCATTGTGAGGAAATACTTTCCACTCTAAATGAGACAAAACCATTGCTTTCCATCCGCAAACATGACCCAGGACTCGTAGCAACAGCGGGGGAACAGTTTTTTCCAGGAAATCTATTTGTTTTAATGCCATCTACTTACTGATTTAAAATGTGATTCATGTTCATTATAGAAAATTTGGAGAATACAGAACGACAAAAAAGTTAAAATCATCTGTAACAAACACTCAGCAATAACTAGAGTTACCATTTTAGTGTTTATCTTTTTGTTTTATTTTACAGCATATACACATCTGAGGGGTTTTTACAAAATTGTGATCACCCTGTGCAAACTATAACCTATTCCTCAATATATTGTAAAGAATTTGTCATGCCATTGTGTATACTTCCAAAACATGATTTTTAGTGGCTGCGTTACATTTCGCATCTAAATGTATATAGTATAACCCCTTTTAGTAGATTCTTAGCATTTTTCTAAATTTTCTGATATACTAATAGATTGTAATCAGCATCTTTGTACAATAATCTACTAGCATATTTTGAACAGATTAAATTTTAAACAGGTCAGCCTGTGCGCTTGATACATAGAATCTATAAAGTACTAACTCCTGCAGGATCATATGTTAACTCCAAGGGGACCCTCCTGCCACCCTCACATTGTGTGTGTGTGTGTGTGTGTGTGTGTGTAGGTGGGGAATCACAGCAGTAAGTCCCTAAGTTTTCTGGGTCCCCTGGCACAGGACTCACTTATTTGGAAGATGCAGAAGGTGTAACCCATGTACATTTTGTCACAGACTAACCCACGAGCAGCAAGCTGAAAGCTGCTACCCTGAGTGGCCTCAGTGGAGATAGGCCAGGATCAGAAAAAGGTCCCTCCTGCCATTCACAGACTCAGAATCTCGGTGACAGAAGGAAGGCAGTGTGGTGCAGTGAAAGTGAGCTGGCCTGGGACCCAGGAGAACTGACCTCTGATCTTGGCTCTGTGTGACTTTGGAGCAGCCATTTTTCCTCTCTGACCTTTAGTCTCTTCATCTGTACTATGGGAGGTTCAACTAGATGACATCCACAATCCCTTCTAAAACTAATAATCTATCCAAGTCTTAGATTCTTTCCTCCCCATCCTCCAGCCACATCACATAGGACTGTTCTGTGTGGCCCTTGTACTTCTTAATTCTCCAGTTGGAGAAGGTATTTTCAAGTACCTGCTCCTTGAGGAATACGAGTCAGGGACAGGGGGGTTCTGCATAACCTCCACAAGAGGAATTAACCAGGCAACAAGTGACTCTGGCAGGGCCAACAGGAACCTAACATGGGCTGGGCACACAGGTGAGCTCCAGACACACCTGCTTGTTTCTGGAAGGCAGTTGTTCTCAGTGGCCCTGGGGCAGGAGTGAAAAGTAGGAGCACTTTGGTACCTACCTGGCAAGGTGAGGGCCAAAGCAAGCAGCACTCTCGCAAGCCTGGCAGGAATCATCTGCAAAGAAGCAGGAGAAATGTGGTTATCACTACCCACATAGATGGCTGCCGACATGTGCTATTGTCCGTGCATGAAGTGGAAAGGACATTATTTTTTAAGCAAGAGATCCTCATTGGCCCCCATTTGCCTTTGAATGTGGAGTGTTACTCCCAAAAAAAGCCTCTGGCCAGAGTCAGGCCCGAGAGGAACAACCACTGTGAGCCAGGACCCCAAGCTCCTTTCCGGAAGAGCAGCCCCAGAGCCACGACAGAGGGGCAGGGCTTTGCCTTCTCCTCCGTGTGCCTCCAGGCCAAGCCGACCTCTCCCACTCCCCTGCACTCCTGCAGAAGCTAAGAGCTGATGCACACCTAATTTCTTCCTGCCTCTTTATCCTTCCACACTTGAGAGCAAACAAGGGAATAGGAGCTGTCTTATGCTTTTGTTCCTTCCCCAGCACCCAGACTTGGAGAATGCTCAGGAACCACAGCAGCTGGTTAGTCACCCACACTGTACCATGAGTGCCTCACTTATCTCCAGCTCCAGTACCTAGCGCAGGGCCCAGTATCCCCCTGAAGATGCTCAGGCAGTGTTTGCTGAGTTGCTCTGATAAATGCACAGGCATCCAGCAGCCCTGGGCCCAGGGAAAAGTCCCCACTATGTAACCCACCAGGTGTAACCCACCTGGCTGGCAGAGCACACACCACATCCCTTAGAGGCCCCATCAGAGCCATCTCCTCTGGAAAAGTTTGCTAAATTAAGTGCAGAATCTGTCACCTGACATTCACTGGAGGTGACTCCTCTTCTACCCAATGCCCCATCCAGCCAAACAAATAGAGATAAACCCAGTCTAGTATATATCTGTGGAAGAAATGCTTTGATGTCAGTTATGGCCAAGTCATGGTCTCAAAGCAGGTGCCCTCTCCTACAGCTTCTCCACACAGAGGCACATCAGGCTGCTCTCAGAAAGTACCAGAGGTGAAAGCAAAGCTCATTCTAGGCTCATCTGGTCAAGTAGTACAAGAAGTAAAACCTAGGCATGAGCAGAAGCAGCCATAGGAACACTCAGAGGCAAGTGAAGAGGGGACATTAGGGTGGTCCCTGACTTTGAATCGCTCTCCAAACAAAGCCCTTCTAGTCTAGAAAGTGAGAACCCCAGATCCCCAGAGGGCAGGATCAGTCCCGATCTTTCTCCCACAGCTGAGCCAGCCCTCCTCCCAGAAGGCCATACCTTACCCTGCAAACGGGGATGCAGGTATCTCCAAGGTCCCTTGGGAAACTCAGCCGCACGGTGGTGCCGCCAGCCCTAGGCCATGCTCACCAGTAGTTGCTGCCACTGATGGTACTGATACAGCTCTGCCTTGGCTTGCTGCTGAGTGATCCAGGGGCAGTGGACTCCCTGTGGCCAGGCAGATAAAGCCCAAGTTGTGACGTCCACCAACCCCCCTTTCCCACCACAATAGCTGTGAGCTGCCACAACAGGGGACTGGCCTCCTCTTAATGACCAAGAGGAAACAATGAACGGAAATGGTATTAGAAATACCTCCAAGCCGATAAGGCTTTGAACAGTTTGGTAGGAGACCTCTTGGCAGCTGACAATGAACTGCGTTGCCCTCCCCGTACTCCCCACACCCAGTCCCTAGTCCTCCCCAAACAGACAAGATGACCAGGGAGGCTGGTCCAGGCCATGAGGGAATCCAGACCAGATCAACAAGCCTCAGGATCCAGCTTCCAAGGCCGGATTCCAGGGAAGTTTGGAAAAACACCTCGACCTAAGCCAATTTAGGTACCATGTTTAGAGGAAGGAGAGAACTAATGCTTCCTGTTCACGCTAGGCATGAATGATCCAGTCCTGGCCCCTGACAAAAACAGTCAGTTTGGGTCTTGGCCAAAGTTAACGGACATTTTAAAGATGAGGGGCCCAGTCACAAGCCTGGGCCTTTGTAAAATGATGGCTAGGATGGTTTGATTCTAATAGTCCTCTCAAAGACTCTTCCACCAGTCCTCCCCTCCCTGATCTTGCACACACACACACACACAACATACCACACATACACATACACTACACACACACCCCACATACACAGACATATACACCACACACGCACACCATCCTTCTTCTCAACCTCCAGTTCCCAAAAGCCTACTTCTCAATGTCATCTGTTCAACTAATTCCCGCTAAAAGAGGTAGCTGATAAAATAGGACGGAAGAAGGCTCTCTCTTGGTGAGATTCCAGGCAGCCTAAGACATATTTAGATAAGGAAGCCTACCTCATTGCTTCTCATGAGATACCACCTGCCCTAAGACTTTGGGAAACCATATGTCCCCAACTTCCTCCCTATCACACATTCATATCTCACGCTCCACCACTCCCTTTATCACCCAAGGAGAGGAAGATGAACATTACCAAGAAAAACTGGTAGACGAAGCAGAATTAGAGTGATATAGTAGAAAAGACACTCAAGGATTTCCATTTCCTGCTTTTTTTTTCTTTTAACTGGGTAACCTGAAAATCTATCTACTACAAAATATCTTGAAATACTGTGTTAAATATGATAAATGTTCTTTAAATGCACAACTAAACTAGGAGCAAAATAATGAATATCTCCAAGGATCAAGGAGGTAAAGGGACCCAAATGAGCAGGAGACGGTACAGGCCTATGTTGTTAGCCATTCCGGCTTCCCTCCAGGCTTGAGGCTGAACCTTGCAAGAACAGGAAATGAGGTTTTGAGCCTGACTCAGGAAAAACACTGGGACAAGATCCCTGCACAAAGCTGACACACGTGAAGGCACCCATCTTTCAAAGAGTGGACTAGAAAAAAAATTTAGCCACCAACATAGAGAATAAGGAACTTGTCTATCTCCATCTGTTTTGGAGGTGGGAAAATTAAGTCTTTCCTTAGACTTTGTAGCCACAGGCCTGCACTCATGCAGGTTTCAGGCTCAAGGAGACATTACCAAGTAGTCCAGATACCCTCAAGCTGAGAAGCTGATGCAGATGTTACTCTTAGGCTAATAACCTGGAGTTCCTGGAAGACACAAGCACAAAACTATCTAAGAAGATAAACTTTCTTCCCCAATCACATATGATACACACAGATAGAGCTCTGTAGAGGATGAATTCAAAATTGCAAATTTTAAAACACCTAAGAAAACAATCCACCATGAGCAGAATAAGCAGCTCCAACCAAAAGCAGGGTTGGATTCCCCCAGGAATGTCAGATAATAAAATGATCATATGTAAATGAAAAAATAAAATTATCATAAATTAAAGAGCAGGAATTGAAAACATAAAAGAATAAGACAGCATGAGAAAAGAACAGGAAGACTGGAAAAAGAACTCTTAGGAATGAAAATACATAGTAAATTAATTGAAAAATTCAAATACAAACACCAGACGTTTCTGAAGAAACATTTACTAGAAGATGGAGCTGAGAAAATTATTCAGAGATAAGGAGATGGAAAAATGAGAGATGTGTTATAAGACCTGATAGAATGAGAAGCTCCAAAGAGAAGTGCTGAGAAAACGTCCTTCGGTGTAGATTTCTATATGCAATGCCTTGGTTTGAATGCCCCCCAGAAACAAGCTCTGAGAATTTAGTGCAGATAGTTTATTTGGAAGAGTAGGAAACGCTGGCAGGGAAGTGGGATGTGATATGGGGAGGGAAAGTAGCCAATAAGATATTTATTAAGCCAGTCACTACATAGGTAACTGAACTAATCTCCTGAGGAAAGTCTGGGGGAAAAGGTAAAATGCATGTCTCAGAATTACCCTACTCTTGGGCCAAGAGAGCAGGGGTATTTCTACACCTACCCCTGTCATTAATTGTCAAAGGCTGCTCCTGGGGGCATTATCTCCTCAACACGTCTGGCCCTTAGGCACAGAGGTACAGACTTTCAGTTAAGAAGAAACATCTGATGAGTTAAGTTCAGAGGACTATGGGAGGGGAACTGTAGCATCTGCTCTACTTAGTGAAATTATCATTCAGTTAAGGGAAAGTAGAGACCTTTTTTTTTTTTTTTTTCAGAAAAACAAGTGTGTTTAATATTAACAGTCTTTTCCTGAAAAAAAAAAAAACAAACTACTAAAGAAGGTACTTCAGGAAGAAGGAAATTAAACCCACAAAGAAAATGCCAGAAGAAAGAATAAACAAAGAAACTGGCAAATACTGGAGAAAATATGAGCAGGCAATGTTTGCATAAAATGATAACAGTAATGACAACAAATTGGAAATTTAAAAAACAAGATGGAACCAAAATACCAGACAACAAAAGCACCTAAGATAAGGAGGGCCGATGGGAGTAAAACTGTATTAAGGTCCTTGTATTGTTCAAAAGAAAGAGGTGACAGTTCTAGACTTTGTTAAGGCTATAATGCATAGTAAAATTTTACTAAAAGAATAGAAATGAATGAATGTACATTTACCAAACCAATCGGGAAAAAAATAAAATAAAGAAAACTAGATTGACCTGGGAGAAAACATGGAAAAAGCAGGACAAATATCATAAAATAAGATAGTAAAAATCCAAACATTGATAATCAGCCATAAAAAGAAAAGAGATTATCAGATTGAATGTCTTTTAAAAGACACACAATCCAGTAGTGTTCAAGAGACAGCCCTAAAACCTAAAGACACAGAAACCGAAAGGGAAAAAAAAATGAAAAGGCAAATGATAATCAAGAGAATGCTGATTATATTACCATCAGACAAAACAGACTTTAAGATAAAAGTCGTTGTTAAAGACAAAGAGGATAAAAAGATGATTAAAAGATGAATGCACCGGGAAGATACAATTATAAATTTATGTGCACTTTATAATATAAGCTTAAAATTTATAAAGAAAAAAAATTATTGAATTATAAAGCAAAGCAGAAAAAGCTTTGGGTAAAAGCCAACAACATCCACTTACGGAAAACAAGCAAACAAAAACATCCTAGTAACCTACAAAAAGAAGATAATATCCTTGACCTGAGAAACAGAGCAAACTTCACAATTATAGTAAAATATAAGCCACTTT